CAGCCTCTCTTGCATCGACCTCCAATGTATTTCAAGACGACGAAGCATATTTACAGCCTCATTTTTTTTTATCAATGAAGCTTTTATCACAATACTAGTTTATAAAGCTTCATTGATAAAAAAATACAAATAAAAAGGTTGAAAAATCAAAGTGCAAATAAAAAAGTGTTACACTAAATGAGTATTGTGACTACTGTTCCCTCAAATTTGAAGAATACTATTTATAAACTCATTTTTTCCTTCATTTTGAAGTACTGAAAGGGTTTTCCCTCATTTTTGATGTTTTTCCTCAAAATGAGGGACCATTGGAGATGCTCTTAGTCTACGAGATCTCCCTTAGTTTGGTTTTTGCAACTGATGTTGACCTTCTAGTTTATGTGCTTTTAGTTGTTGTTGACTTGATTGAGGCTGTTTCTAGGCCTAGATATCTATATGAAAAAATGTTGAGCCTTTTCCATACTCAAACAAGTAGAGTCATGTTATCCTACTTATTTTATTTCAAAACATTCTAAAGAATTAAAGGTAAAAGCATTTTAAACTCATCAATTTCATCTAATGAGTATTATTACTAATGGAAAATACATTTTATTGAACCAGACAAAACTAAAGGAAAACTTGTTTGCAATTTTGTCTAATTGTTTTTTGTAAAAAATATACAATTTTGAACCAAACCTTGCTTGGTATCATTTCTGTAGGAGATTTGATCCAGTTTAACCATGGATATCCATAGCCTCTCCAATATGTTGCAAATGCGGCTTTATTAGCGACGTTATACATTGATTATCCAGACTCATCTCTTATTCATAGAAAGTATTATTGCCCTATTTTATCTCTTATTCCTAGAAAGTATTATTGCCCTATTTTCTACCTTACTCATGTCCTCTGCACATATGAAGCAAAATAGATAAAGCGATCCTATGTGATCAAGTTTATTTTTCGCAAATTGATTACGTACTCGGTAAAAACCTTTAAAATATGAATTATGTTGTGTTTTACAGCAATACCCAAAACATGTATATCACAAAGGAGTTTTAATTCCTAAGAATAAGAAAGTGAGTTGCAAAGGGATGGAAATAGAGAGATACAGAAGAAGAAAATCCAAACACGATTGAAGAAGCAATTGTTGCTGGACAAAACAAATTGATGGATTCCAAGACATGCGTAAGTATTAAGATGAAGCTTATTGGGGAATAGATTTGTATAAAATTTTAAAATTTTGAAAACCCACCGTTATTGGTTTATAGATTCTTAATTTCTAAGTGAAATCCACTGTTATTGGTTTAAAGATTTTTAAAATCTATTGTTATTGAAATTTTTTTGTTTTTAATGATTCTGCAATTCTATTCAAATCCATCGTTATTGGGACATGAATTGTTAATAATTTTACTCATTAAACACAACTTTCACAATCTTATGGATATACATGAGATTTTGAAAATCTTTAAAATACAATTCTTTGATAGATTTATAAAATACACAAAACTCTTTCTAAATTTAACAAATCTCTCTACAGATTAACAAATCTCTAAACTTTTAAAATTTACAAACTCTATCTAAATTCTACTCCAATAACCCCCCTAAGATTCTAAATTAGAGGGATGATTTAATCATGGGAGCAAGAAACTCGGCTGAGATTGATTGTATTCAAGTGACACATGTTAACTCGGTTGAAACTTAAATTATTCTAATCAGCTTTAGCCAAATTTCTTACTCCCATGGTTTTTTAAGTGAGAATTTTCTGGCTCTTAATGGTTACCTCTTTTGCAAACGAGCTATAGTTCAACCGCTCGTTTGTTACCAATCAAACGATCGTTTGAAACGGGCGTTTGAAACGAACGGTTGGAAAACGAAGTTGCAAACGGACGACTGATAAAAAGGTCGTTTGTTATCTAATTATACTATTCAACTGCTACAATGCTACCAATCAAGCATATATTTGAATTGTTCTCTATTATCCAACCGCCTTCTCTAACCACTATTTCTAACCGTCTTGTTTCAAATGACCATCTATTCAACCACTAAAAAATTTTCAACCGCTCGTTTCAAACAGGGTAACCAAGCGGACCCTCTATATTTTTTTTTCTAAGAGTCCACAAGTGACACATTGTGTGCTTTAATTAGAATTTCATTGTTGAATCCGATCACTAGTCGATAATTAGTTTTGCATTGCCAACAACACGAGAAAATAATAGTTTGGAGAGGCATTTGAAGGAAGCATATGTGGAACTCTGTAAACAAAAACAAGCATGTCGTAATTCTTGTAATACTTCGACACAAATTAGTGAAAGATAAACTACATATGACTGTAATACTTCATGTCGTATAGGGCTGGGCAAAAAATGTCGTATAGGGCTGGGCAAAAAATCCGTCAGATCCGATTCGATTCGTTATTCGTTCTGATCTGATCCGAAGAATCCAGATATCCGTAAATTTCGAAGCAAAGCAAATACTAAATTGAAATATCTGTAGAAAACAAAGCAAATCGCAAATATCATTTTAGAAAAACCGAACCGATCCGTTACATATATTATAAGATAAGTTATATATCTTATGTATGTAATTAATGTATATAATTAGTTATTGTTTTTTTGGTTATTAAAGATGTACAAGCAAGATGAATTGTACCGAACCCATTCATTTTTGCTAAATATTTAATTTTTATTATGAG